GCTGGATGCTCACTGAGCAAGTGCAATGATGTTGGGATCAGGAGAAGGGTGATTGTTGAGGACAAGAAAGTTTTCACATTTACAGTTCAGGTTTATGCCAAAGGCCAACAGTTCAGGTGGGCATCAGCGAGTGTTCATTGATGCTAACTGTCCGAAGATTCATTATTCTGCCTGATAATTTTACTGACAAGCTTGTTTCAAGGAAAAGGCGAACCAGTCAGTGGAATAACTGTGGACATGTTTAACATTTCTCGTTCCTTCCTGCTTTCGGATTTACGGACTCACCGGGTTTCATGGTCGGCAAAAATGCTCATTTTCGTGATAACGTTTTAAGCTGTCATTGAAGTTACAAGGCGAACACAGTTTGACAGTATTTTCATGGGGTTCGTGTCGACAATAAATGCATCTCCCTCAGAAGAGAAGGTTCAGGCCACCAGCATACCTGTCCTCATGCAGACTTTTTATTGCCATTCGATGAGCACAGCTCAGAGTCTATGAATGAGAGAGAAAGCTTCGCAAGCCAACTGCTAACCTCGGTGAAATACCCAACGCCCAGTTGATCAGGCGTCATTAAACGCAACCAAGCTATCTACATTTTAAAATTACCAGAGTAAGAGAAATGATCATTCTGTCAGGTGGGCACATCATTCCACTTGGAGTGATGAGCACTGCTCTGCTTTGAGAAAAGTAGCTCACGGGTCGACGTCTTGTGTCTCATTCTCTCAGGGGCGTTTAGCAAGCAACTGAGATCATGTCTATTGGTATGTAGAGGACCGTGTGGAATGGCTTATTGCTTCGCGATTAGTCTGGAGTGCAAAGAAATCTCCTGGCACCTAAGAAATAAACCACAAGACTTAGGACTAGATCCAATGCCATCTGGAGTAAACCTCACGCAACCGAATCGCAGTGTACAGTACGAAAACTCAGTGAGATCCATAGGTACAATGACTGCTGTCAGTGTTAAATAAGGTAGGAGTCATCCATCATGTCGATTTTGGCACAAACTTGGTCGGCCAGTTCAGTTCAATGTCCGTTTTTCCGTGAATGGAAGAGTGCCGTACTCGCACAAGCCAAGCTGGGATGTTGCTTCTAGTCAAAAAGGGACGAGGCGGTGGCAGCTGGGATTCGGAAATGCGCCCTCTAAAATTCTATTTTAAGGAAGTGAGCCGAACCTGACAGTATGTTTTCGGCATCATGCGATTAAACCGTTGCTCCGGGATACTTGAAAAATCATGAATTAATTGTGGCGTGACAGTCGTCATCAGCTGCCATCTGCATCCGCAGAGTGAAAATTTGTCTTTTTTCATCGTGAAGATTCATTTTATTCTATGGTTCCTCGGCTGCCCCTAATATCGGACGCCCCAAGAAGGCACACGTCGTCTCAAGAAAGCGTATCTGGCAGTTATCCAGACGAAAGCTTCAAACCGCTACAATTTAGAATAAGGCACACAACGTGGGCTTGTCAATGGCCGGACGAAGGTCCACGTAGAGGATAATCAGTTCTAGCGACAAGGTAAGTTCAAATCTATCACTTGAGATCAAAAATGGGTGCGTCACAAGAATCTGACAGTAAGCCTAAATTGCCACAAATCTCTCTGAAATCCAGAAAGTGTGTCCCATCTGATAGCATTGTTTACATTTTGAATTTCAACGTCCGCATGCACTCGGTGAGTACAGTTTGCCACACGAAGCACGTATTTCAACAATCCAAACGTTATATTTGCCGGACAGCCCCGCGGTGGCGTACTCAGACATTCATCGAATTTCTTTTCGATAGGTTATCCCTACAAAAGTACAATAGGATCTCGTATCTGTCGATTCGCACCACCCAGGAACCGAAGAATTTGACTTCTTCCTTTGCCTTGAAATCTGGACGGTCCTACGTTACGTCCTGTGCACCATGTTTGCACCATTCCAGATAAAACTCAATACACCTAGCACAAAAGCTATGGTACAGGAATCCATGATCAATGCAGAGAATATCCGCTTATACCAGAAAGAGGCAGAATCATTCATACGCTTGGATGTAACGGATCCTACTACCGAAAATCATCTCGGTAGATGATGCCTTACCGTGCGGAGCCCAAGAAACCACGGTCATGATAACCCACCGAAGGGAGGTCTGAGTAGAAAGTAATTCACATAGAATTTGTGCCGTCTACGGGAGCTGTGACACAAATCCTGGATGTCGTTGACAAACGAAAACGTCGGCTAGAATCTCACACGCGCTTGTATGAGCTGGAACCTAAGAAATGAATCACAGGCCTGAGGACTAGATCCAATGCCGTCTGGAACAAACCTCGCGCACCCGAAGCGGAATGTACAGGATGAAAACTCAGTGGGATACAGACCTACCATGACTGCTCTCAGTATTAAACAAAATGGGCTGTCATTTTTTCTCATATTGTCGCGTGCTTCTTGTAGTCTGCGCAACAACAACAGAACCACAGGAAGCGATATTTTGTAGTTTGATAGATGAATTATTCCGGAAGATGGTGGAAAATGTGATCGTACGTAGGAGGGGTGATGAGCAAAAATTTCCTTCGTTAGAGGTCGGTAGAGGACTAACACAGACACAGGGAGCTGAAAGTACCAAAATGCACAGCTCCGGTGCTTGAAAAGACGAAGCACTCCTGAGTGAAACCGCCAGAAAGTCTCCTAAGTATGGATGCTTAACAATTTGAAAGCCTTAAATAGCGAGATCACGCAATCACTCGCTCGGTTTGACGCGATTCACGTGCGACTCACAAGTCGTCAGACATTTAACGGAGGTCAGTAGTAAATCAACATAGACACGGGAAGCTGAAAGTACCCAAGTGCACAGCCCCGGTGTTTGAATAAACTAAGCACTCCCGAGTGAAACTGCCAGGAATACTCTTAGCCATAGTTGCTAACCAAACTGCAAACTTTCGATGATGAGATGACACAATCACACGTTTTGTGGATAATCAGGAGGGGGAATCGAGGCAAATTTTATAACGTATAAAGATCTCGAACTGGGTTTTATTGCCTTCTGGCGCCCATTTCGATTTGTGCAATGTGTGTCCAAATATTTCGAAAAAACGCGTAAGTTTTGTTAGGCAATGAAACGCCGAAATAAGTCGTTTTTTGATCGCTGGGGCGACCCAAACACGGTGGACTAGTCTGACGGGGTACCAAACAGGGATATCGATTCGCATTCCTTGAGCAAACTGCATCATAGTTGCAATATCCACTGAGCGAGTGGACTTTAGAGAAATCAAAATATCAGTGGGAGCATTAGGGCATTGGGTGATAGGATACGCGTGAATTCACAGTCGATTTAACCTTGCTGAGTTGCTCGCTCTCAGACGCTGCCATCTTACATCCAGTTACCGACTGATTGTGACCCATCTTGTGAACGCAACAGGGACCGAATAGGTAGGTAAGGTGGATTCTTTACGCGTTTCGCTTTGCATCGCGTCATTCCGGACCCACTCATGACACATTTTTCCTCGAGGAAAATGTCTATAGTCATGCAATCTGGAGACGATTGTTTTGCTTGGAGGCACATTTTGGACAACGTCCTCTGAAATTGCGTGAACGTTGAATGAACGACCGCTTGTCTCCAGTGCAGATGTTCGATTTAACACATGGTACAACAGTGTATGTACGCATCACTGACAATTCAGTGAAGTCACCGTTTGATCTCAACTGGTGAGCTGTCGCACGAAAGTCACACTCAAATGGGTCAGGAATTCCTTTTGTCGAGGCCTTATGGATTCTTCACAGGACCAAAATAGTTGACTCGATAGAGAGCTTGAAGATACTGGCAAGAACATCCGCCATTCGATTATCGCCCCATGACACACAGAGTGATCGGTATATGGCGTTCCTCGCATGAGTTCCGGCTTCAAGTAAGGTGACAACT